GATGGAACCATTTCAAACCTAGAGTTTTGATGAACTCTGTGTCATGGGAACAAATTAATACTTCCCTGTTTTCTGGTGCAATATTTCCGATGATTGGAGGTGTGTTCGATGCAAACTTTCGTAAAGGAAAACACGCGCATTTCAATAAATTAATGGTTTGGTGCTTGATTTCCATCTCTTCAGCTACACTATCTGCACCACTTATCAAGTTGTCTACAAAGAAATCACAGAGTGTTACCTCAGATCCTATTCGGTAATTTGACGCCTCATCAACTGCAAGCTGCTGTAGACATTTCACCACAAGATAGGGCGCACAAGATAGGTCGGCAAAAATCCTCCGGCTGAACCCTCCACGAGGGTGCTGACTGGAAATGGGCACTACAGAGGATTCTGTGCGATGTCAGAATGGTGCTCAGCTAAGATCAGGAATCAGTGCTATGTGCTAAACTCCTTAATAGCGTAGTCATATGGAAATGGTTTCTGATCGTGGCTTGGAGGTCTGAAGGGGCTGGATCAAGGCGTCACGCGCACCGTACCGAGGATCGGCTAGGCTGGGGGCCCCTAAATAGCCCAGTCGCGAACGGAGCCCTCTGGGAGGAGGCCACACCCAGGATGTAAGTAGGCCTTACCTGGGCATCGCGGATCTCTGCCCGGGTGGACGAACCCCCTTAAAGCGTCGGAATTGTCTCGGCCCACTACCACCAGCCGTAGTGCGGTGATAAATAGCGGGAAACCAATGGTTAAACCGGGCCAAGCTCTCGCAAAAACGAAGGAAAGTGGCGGTGGGGATGCTCAAAGGAGTCCACCCCGGGAAACTCCTGGCACCAGTGGATGCCAACCTGGCATGCAGATTGCAGCCGGGGATAAGGCTGAATCTGGGGCGCAGGCCCCGGGCGGTCCTCCCGCGACACCCACGGCCTTCACGGGGCCTGACCAGAGGCCAGAACCAGCTGCAGCGGGCTATCGACAGAGGAAGCTGGCTGCTCGAATCCTGCAAAGGTTCACCGCAACGCCTGACCTGTGTAGCAAGGCGAAAGAAGAGCATGTGAAGGAGATCCTCACAGAAATCGACTGGGCAAAGGCAGTCCTGCCCGACTACCGCAAGCCGGAGGGGAAGCAGCCGCAGGCGCCCTCCAGTAAGCGCAATAGATCGGGGAAAATACGCCCAACCATGCAAAGAGGGTCAGAACGCAGGGGCCATCTTTTGCTGAAGTAGCCAAGGAGCAGATACCTGCTCGGCGTCATTGATGAGAGCAATGAAGACAGCCTCACCCTGAGGCAGCAATGGAAGTGGGTTAAGGCCGCGATGGCCGACATTGCTATCAACATCATGTTGGAGAATCCTGGACCTCCGCCAACCTGCAAGGGAGCGGGGTGGTTCCAAAATAACATCCGCGTTATAGCATGCGAGGATGCTAGATCAGCGGAGATCGATAAGAAAACAGTCGCAGGTATTGGAGAAGTCTACCCTGGTGTGAAGCTCAGGGCGGTCGACTTCAAGGACCTACCGGTGCGACCGAGAGCGAGAGCATGGTTGCCTTGCAGGCCAGCGGAGCCAGAAAGGATCCTGCAAACCATAAGGCTCTATAACCCGGAGCTACCTACCGAAAATTGGAAGGTGGTAAAAATTAACGAAAGCGGTAAAGCGACGATGCAGGTTGTCCTGCTTCTAAATAAGGACTCCATAGAGTTGTTGGAGCAAAAGAGCGGGGTCATACGTTACGGCTGTGACATGGCCAAAATTAAGGTATACAGCAACGACGTAAACGCAGCGAAGAACCTGATCGCGGAGGTAGAGCCGGAAGAGGCCAACAGCGACGTGGAGATGGAGGAAGAATCCGAGCAGGTTGATCCGATGGACGACCTGACCGGGGTTTATGCCTCATCGACGTCCTCGCTGGGGGTCGGACGCATGCTTCGGCTTTATACGGAGGAGGAGTTGATCGAGATGTCGGAAGACGCGGTCAACTCCACCCTAATAGGCGACGTGGGCGGTAACGGCCAAGATGGTGAAGGTACTGCAGATTAACCTTCACCACTGTAAACCAGCTTCAGTTGCACTGCTGCTCCATCTAACAGCTAAAGGGGCAGCCGACATCGTCCTAATCCAAGAACCTTGGGTGGTGGGACAAAACATTTGTGGGCTGAAAGCGCCGGGCTACAGACTGGTAAGTGGAGCCTCAACGGGGAAACCAAGGACGTGCATATTGATAAGTATCACAATAAAGTGTCTCTTTCTTCCACAATTTAGCGACGAGGACACAACAGCGGTCAGTCTAAGTGTAAACGGACGACCAATTAAGATGGCATCCATGTACCTAGCGCACGACAAGGAGGTGCCAACTATCTGCATTAAAGACCTAGTGGCCAGCACGAGGGAGGCGCTAATTTTGGGAGGTGACGCGAATGCTCACCATCACACCTGGGGCAGCTCCGATGATAACGAACGGGGTGAGTCACTTTTTAATTTCATACTTAGTTCTAAGCTTGTTATTGCAAATAGGGGGAATGATCCCACTTTTATTACAAAATCCCGAAGGGAAGTTCTGGACGTTACCCTTATCTCTGAGAATGCGGAATGTCTGGTCGGGAAGTGGAAGGTGCTTGAGGAGCACTCCTTTTCCGACCACCGGCTCCTCTAACTAGAAACTTGCGAAATGCCAACTGGCATAGGTATCGGAAAGAGCTGAATAGGCTTTTGCCACAAGATAGAGAGCCGGCTACTCCAGCAAACCTAGAGGAGCTGGAATATCTTGTCGACCATTTTACGGGGGCCTGCAGTAAGGCAATAGACATTGCATGCCCCAAAAAGCAGCACCGGGGTGGGAAAAAGCCACCCTGGTGGAATGAAGAAATCAGGATTTCACGCAAGAACTGCAGGAAAACCTTCAATCAGGCTACTGCGTCTGGTAGTGAGGGACATTGGGAGACCTACAAGACAACGTTATGGGAGTACAAGAAGCTCCTAAGAAGGTCAAAAAGAAACCCAGAAAGACTTCTGCAATGGGGTGTAGTCTATCTCAGAGGCAGGCAGGCTCAGAAAGATACTCTCAGGAAAGCCCCAGGATGCTTGCAAAGACCTGACGGCTCCTGGACAGAGACCGAGTAGGAATCACTGGATCTGCTTCTTTGCACACACTTCCCGGGTGCCACGGATAGCATGCCGGTACAGCCACATCTAACTGGAGATCTTTCGGATTGGAGATTTCCTCACTAGGGAAAAGGGCATCTGGTCTATTGTTAAATTTCAGCTAAGCTCAGCGTGGCTACACGCTATAATTAGGGGAGTATTAGCTCTTAACCATATCCCTAGAAAGTGGAGGGAATCAAGAGTGGTGTTCATCCCCAAGGCAGGGAAGGTGTCTCACAATAACCCAAAGGATTTCAGGCTCATCACCTTGTCGTCATTTCAACTGAAGGTTATGGAGAGACTGGTGGAGGTCCGTATCAGAGAGTCGGTTGGTGACAGACTCTCTACCACACAACATGCTTATACGAAAGGTAGATCTACAGAAACGGCGCTACATGAAATAGTGTCGTATATAGAGAGATCACTAGACATCAAAGAATATACGCTAGCAGCCTTCCTGGATATAGAGGGCGCCTTTAACAACATCATGCCGGGCGCGATAACGGCAGCACTGACGGGCCTGGGCATCGACTCGCGCTTAGTTGCGCTCGTAAACCAAATGCTGAGATGCAGGGTGGTCCGGGCGGAGCTGGCGGGGGTATCGTTGACCAGGTTCGTAGAGAGGGGCACCCGCAAGGGGGAGTCCTATCCCCTCTATTATGGGTCGCAGCGGTAAACTCACTGCTGTGTGGCATGAAGGGGGTGGCTGTAAGATTATTGCGTATGCGGATGATCTTGCACTAACAGTAAGTGGGAAATTTCTACAGACTCTATGTGACATTATGCAGGTAAAACTGAAGGAAGTCGAGAGTTGGACAAAAAATAACGGGTTAGGGGTAAACCCAAGCAAGACAGAACTTGTACTGTTCACAAGAAGGTACAAAATCCCCCCATTGATAACACCAAGGCTGGCACAGACCACACTAAAATTAAGCGGATCCGCTAAATACCTGGGGATAGTCCTAGATAAAAAATTAAGCTGGATTCAAAACACCGAAGAGCGGGTGCGGAAGGCCACGGTTGCCCTATACAGCTGCAGGAGAGCAATCGGCCAAAGATGGGGTTTAACCCCGAAGCTAGTGCACTGGATATACACCGTTGTGGTGAGGCCCATACTTCTGTACGGGGTAGTGGTATGGTGGCCAGTGCTGGAGTAGAAAGTAAACATTATTAAATTACAAAAAGTGGAGAGAACGGCCCTGATCTGCATTAGTGGTGCTCTCCGCACAACACCTACTATGGCAATGAATACGATCCAAAACATCATACCCATAGATATTATGGGACGACAATACGCTGCGTTTGCAGCCCTAAGACTACAAGGGCTTAAAAGCTGGAAAGCGGCTCGCTGTGGTCACACTACAATTCTGAGAAACCGACAACTACCGATTACAAAGGACTACCAAGGCTCACTTTCACTAAAGGTTATAGCGTAACGCTACCTAGCAGGGAATCATGGCTCGAAGGTGTTCCGGGGTCTAGAGATGCCATAAGATTCTACACGGACGGCTCCAAACTAGAAAATAGGGTAGGAGGAGGCGTCTACTCGGAGAAATTGGGAATAAAAAGATCATTCCGACTACCTGACCACTGTAGTGTCTTTCAAGCTGAATTGGCTAAAACTAGCTGTTATCGCCAGTACGGAAATATATATATAATCAGACAGTCAGGCGGCCCTTATGGCGCTTGACTCTGTCACTATAAATTCGGAAACAGTTGCCAACTGCCGCAAATCACTTAACGTGATGGCAGAGCAGTTCGCTTTGCACCTGGTATGGGTACCGGGGCACAGTGACATACCAGGAAATGAGAAGGCAGACGAGCTTGCAAGGGCGGGTACTTGCTCTCCACTTTCACCAGCCTGGAAGAGGGTGGGTATGCTACTCGCTTCCTGCAAGCTCTTACTAAGGGATAACTTCCTTGAAGAAGCGGCCTCCAGATGGGAGCGCACTGAAAACTGTAATACAACGAAGCTTACATGGCCGAAATGGGATGTACGGAGATCGAGAGAAATTCTCACTCTCAATAAAGGCGATATGTCACTGGCCATTGGTCTGCTCACAGGACATATTCTGATAGGAAGGCACGCAGAACGCCTCGGGGTTAGTCCCAACGACTACTGCAGGAGCTGCCACGACGAAGAAGAGCCTGAATCAATAAGGCATTTACTCTGTGATTGCCCAGCACTGGGCAGGAAAAGACAGAAATTCCTAGGTATAGGTCTTCTAGACGATCTAAGCGCGACTGCTAAGTTTGGAATACGGCAGTTGCTAAGGTTTGCAGACTCCACAAACTGGTTTAAGGAGTAGGGGTTTTTTTTGGATCCATGTTGTATCACAATGGGCCCTGATCGGGCCTAAGTGTGCTGGCGCCCTCTGGGCCTAGCAGCCACTTCAACCTAACCTAACCTAACCTAGGGCGCACAACTAGTTCCATATGTGACTGTTTGCAATCGATATGTATTAAGTGGTTATTCAGGTGTGGGCCGCCAAAGACGCATTACCAATGAGTGTCAAGCTTATCAACCCAAATTTGCCTGTACATTTTGGCAATGTCGGCAATAATAACGTACTTGTGCTTCCTGAAGCGGGTCAAAATTGTGAAGACTGTATCCTGAAGTTGAGGCCCGACTCTCAGAAAATCGTCCAGACTATATCCACTTGCTGTCTTGCACGAGGCGTCAAAATTCACTCTAAGTTTTGTTGTGCAGCTGTCAACTTTTGTGACCCCATGATGTGGTATGTAATTACACCGCTCATCGCAGATATCTTCTATGATTACCGGAATCATGTATTTCATGTTAATGTATTCAGACATGAAGTCGTTGTAGTCCTTACGAAAGCCTAAATTTCGAGAAGACCATAATTCCAGCGAATGCATTCGTTTTCGAGCGGGATCTTCTGAAAGCCCGTGCTTAGATATTCACTCCCCGAGAATTAAATACGTAGAATAACATCTGAATGATCAAGCCTCACCTTAAGAACAGACGATGTGAGCAAACCTGCGCTTTGTGGCTTATCTGTGGTTGTGCATTCTTCCTAAGTCGAGTGGCTCTGATGCAAGAGTGTATGATGTTTTACCTTACAATGCTTACATAGATGCACCGATGAACAGAGTTCATTGTTTTTCATCTTTTGTTTTTAACGTTTCTCCTCTATTTACCAAAAATAACCTTGAAATATTTAAATGTTCTTTCTCCCTTTCAGTGATTATGTTATTTTTTCAACACCTAGGTATGTTGAATTAAAATATATCTTTGGTTTTTATCTAGCATGTCGAGATTTTTTTTTATTGATTTAACATATATTTTAGGATTTGTAGCAATTTGCATGAAAAGCCAAAAATTAATTAATTTGAAATGGAATTTTATTTTAAAATTCTAGTAGTGACCATTAACGCTAAGAAAATAACTTTTATCAATTTTCTTAGCGTTAATTTTGAAATGACATAAGTTTCTCTAATTTACTTAGTCCATTTATGGGTAACGTAACCAACTATTTCGTAACTCAAAGAAGTACAGAAACTGAAAACCAACAAGTAAGAAATAAATACCCGGCGCAAGTATTAAATATATGTTTTTTCAACTTTCCGAAACCTTCCGCTAGATGGTCAATTTTGAGTAAATTAGCGTCCTTCAATTTCGAAATATTGAAGTTTCAAGCATTTCTGAAATTTACCGTTATATGAGAAGCGGCCGTTATTTTAGTCCGATTTCAATAATTTTCAACGTTTTGCTTATATGTGGAAAGCGGAATAACCACACCGAGTTTGGTACAAATTGGTAGAACGGTTACCGATATACTTATATGAGATCATAAGTGGGCGGTGCCGCCCATTTTCCAAAGTTTTACCATAATCGTATTTCTTGGTAAAGAATTGTTGCAAGCATCAATTTTGAATAAATTAGCTTCAATATTTACTGATTTATCGAAGATTTTGTATTTCTCTAAATTACCGTTATATGGGATGTGGGCGTGATTATTGTCCGATTTTAAAAAGTTTCGGCGATTTTTTATGCTGTGCCAAGGCCAATAATTGTGCCAAGTTTGGAAGAAATTGGTGCAGCGGTTACCAAGATATACACATGTAACCATAAGTGGGCGTGGCTACGCCGCAGTGAAAATATTCAGCGGTTCAGCTATGAAGATTTGTGGAAATTCTTGTGTTGCATAATTCACGGGGCAATATTTTGTTACCAGTTTATGAGATGGTAACCAAATTTACCGGTTACAAAAGCGCACAAATGCGAAAAAGGTTTTAAAATTGACAGACACTTTAATTACCGGTTACAAACTTTATGTTACCAGCGCAGAATAGCCCTGTAAGTGCATTTCCGTTCAAGCTACAACTTCCTACCGGCTTAGTTAACAAGCGGTGTGAAACCTTGCTAGCTCTGCGATTTGATAAAGCAGTGTGGTATGTATGTGTGAATGTTTGTATCTTTCGAAGTGGAGTGATTATGTAACTAAAGTGTATGCGTGAGTATTGGGGTATGAGTGACTTCTTCGGCTGAGTCATCTCCTATAAAAACCGCGGAGGTAGCTCGAAATAGGCATTAGAATGTTGTGATTTTAAATCAAGTGTCGCGAGTGCTCGAAGTTTGCGAAATTTTAATAGTGTGGTAAATAGCTCGATATATAGTGAAGTGAATATATGTATGTACGCATATATACATAAGGACGTATATATAGCAAAGTGCAAAAAGGGGGTTTTGAAAGCGCCGTAACTTGCACCGACCTGTAGTGAATCTAGCGGTTATTAACGGAATTCGAGGTAAGAAAAAATTCTCGCATTAAAATGTCTTGATCCTAATCCCGGGCACCAAGAAATTTCTAGTGGCTTGCCTATAAACATGCATATATGCGGATGAGTACTTGCACTTTAATGCACTCATGTTTTTTTTTTTTTTTTGTTGTAGAGGTGGCACAAAGCATTGAAAGCCGATAAGTGTGGGACTTGCCTTTCGGCTCACCGCACTAAAAACCCACCCCTGCTCCGTTTCCCTCCTTCCGTGGAACAACCGCAAGGTATTACTTCGTGGAGGAGGAGAGGCCTATTGCCTTTCTATGAAGATCTGCGGAGTTGTTCCGCTTGACGCAATTTTCTTAGGATAGTGCTTGCCATATGACAAACAACGGACCAATTTTCTGTTGACTCAAGCATGATATCCACCAGGTTGTCAACCTTAAGTGGCCTCCCCACCTTTATGCTCAAGTCGTCCCTTTGGGTTGCGAACTGCGGACAGACGAAAGAACAATGTTCAGCGTCTTCGATTACCTGCCCTGTACAGAAAGTGCAGTACGGGTCGTCTTCGTGCGTAAATCTGTGCAAGTATGCTTTAAAGCAGCCGTGTCCGGCTAGTATTTGAGACAGGTAGGCACTCATGTATGTTTATGCATATGTATGTGAGCGCAGGCGTAGGTGCATATGTTTGTATGTATATATTTTATATGTATAATTTTGAGATTGGTCACGTCTATGAGGTGGTTACCTAGCACCCAGGAGCAGGAAGGCCATAACCACATTCACTCACACATTACAACCTAAATACGTCAGAATCTGCAAGCTACGCACATCCATCGACAGCATTACGTCCCAACCAACAAACGCATACACTACAGCATATATACATAGATACTACAATTGGATCAACACCCATACGTACTACCGCTTGCATCTATTACACCGAGATCGACACACACACGGGTTACAACAATTAACATCCACACGCACTAAAGATTGCATATCACACCTGGATCAACACCCATATGCACCACCGTATACACGTATCCACAATCAGCACATACCCATCGACACATATATATACATCGTATGCCCTAAATCTATCGCCCACCTACTGATATCAGCTAACAGACAATCACAAATACAGCGAGCACGTCAAACAGCTGTTCCTGGTACATAGAATGGCCCAGGTCAACGGCCGCTGATTGGCGAATATACATAAGGGTTTGCAGACTCACTGATAGCTGGTTGGAAGCGAACGTATAGCAGCGAAGGCAGAAGCAGAGCCTGAGGGAAAACGAAACAAGTGCAGCGATCGTTCTGTCTGCACCGACGCCACTCGCCGCAGCACCAGCATCACGGGCGAAGAGAGACCAAGCAGCGCACTAGTTTTACTACCTGTTTGCCTTTTTCTATTTTTTGCCTACATACCGACATACGTATAAATTGTTTTTAGGGTTTCTCATATTTTAATTTCTTTTACTTATGCACACCTACGCATGTACATATGTACATTAGACTGCATCACCAAAAAAAGTTGCGGTTTTTCCGCCGGGATTACAAAATCTATTATATTTTAAGACGTCCACCAAAATATTTCGGAAAAACATTAAGATTTAAGCGAGCTGGACCGATTTGAAAATACCCCCTGTTCATAAAAATATGAACATGAAACTCTGCCGCAATAGAGATAGGATTTTAGAAATATAACACATTCATAAATACATATGCAAACATACGTAAACCGATGAAATAAACAGGAAAAATATACAGTCCACTAAATGTCAAATGCAATGATAAGCAATAGAATTGTAATGTGACCCTTGCTCATAAAATATGTGAAAATTGCTTATCTGAACAAAATACATAAATTACAGTGTATACAGAAAACATAAAGATAATATAAGTATGAAAGAAACACGCATACACCAATAAACCAATGCACACAAGCAGCAACTGACAGCCGATCATCAATTGTTATAATACGTGCGTTAGATGCACTTAAGTCAACAGTGAACCTAAACAAATATAAAAGATCAATACGTTGGTCTTTTATCTCTTACTAGGATTTACTGGTTCTGCATAAGACACATAAATTTAAGTGCACTTAAAATGCATTGGTATCGGATGTATACAATGAAGATAAGAATACACATTTACGCATGTACACACACACACACACATATACGTAGTTAAGGAATTAGTATTAGAAAATGTATATAAGAAAGAAATATTCAATAAAGAGGTCAGATTAAATACAGCAATCTCACGGTGTACATTACGTATTTTTGTGATCTTCACTATCCCCCACCCGAGGTAAGAAGTCAAGTTGTACATTTGGTCAGTCGAGCCTAGAAAAGAGCTCAAGCGCAAGTACTATAAGTCTCTGAAAAAAGGAGAGCATTACTTAGCAAAAAAAAAAATATATATATATAAGCCGGAACAGCAAAGACTGTCCGCATTAATAAAAAATATACTGAAACAAGTATATAATTCGCCTAAAATTCTAAGCGAAAAGCGTTTCCGTGGCTCACAGCGGAAAAGTGAAAAGTGTTAAAAAGCGTCCTCGTGGAAAACAACGAGTACAGTATTTAAATACTAAAAAACAAAAATCAACAAAAAACAATCAAAATCAACAGTAAAAGAAACAACATCAATCAACATTGAAAATTTACTGAAAAGACAGAAGGAGTTGGGCGATCTTGCTGCGCTGGAAGAACAGAAAATCCTTAGCGGCAAAATAAGGAAAGCGTCATGTCTCGAATATATTCAACATATTCAAACAATGAGGATGGAATTTAATGGAAATCATGCCAAAATTATGGCTAAACCGAGCCAAGAAGCTGACGAATACATTGCCAAGAAGTATTACGAGCATGTTATTCAGGTAATGGAAAAGCCCATTCAGCATTTAAAAATACAAAATGCAGCCGAAGATTTACCAACAGTAAGCGGCAATCAACTTAAACCTGAATCGATGGGAGAAATGAGTGAGTTCGAGCCATCAGGTACTAATTCCGACGTAGAAAGGAGATTTCAACGTCGAGGAAAAAAGCTCAGAATGATCATAGAAGAAATTCAACAAAATGAATTGGATTCTGTCGAAGAAATAAGAGAATTCAAAACTAAGCTTCAAATACAGTTTGAATATGTAGAAGAAGCTTTTTCTAAAACTAGCAGTGTCCATTTAAAAGCCATTACTAAAGACTCAATAGAAGAACAAATGGAGGACTTCCGAGAAAAAAAACAGCGTTAACATTGAGAAGTTAACAGATAAATTGAAAAGGTGCACGCCAACACAAGCTGTGTCATCTACTATGAAACTACAGGAGATTAAGATTCCGATATTTTATGGCGAGATGAATCAATGGTCATCATTTAGCGATCTTTTCCAAGGTTTGGTGCATAATTCGAAGCACTTTACTAAAGTAGAAAAGATGTTCCGGCTGAAGTCGTCATTAGAAGGAGAAGCTGGAAGATTAATTCAGCATTTACCGGTAACCGAATACAACTATGAAGCCGCTTGGCAAATCCTCAAGGAAAGATATGAAAACAAAAGGCTGCAATTCACAACACAAGTGGACAGACTTCTTGATCAACCAACAGCAAATGGGAAAATTGCGGCAAGCATGAAGCAGCTTTTGGATACCACTAAGGAATGCATTTATGCTCTTAAAGGGCTTAAATTTAATTTAAATGACGAGCAAGCAATTATAACTCGGATAGTTGTTCGGAAACTAGACAAAGAAAGTCTCCGGTTATATGAGCAGAATGTCAAGAAAACTAGGGATATCCAAAGCCTAGATGATGTTTTCCGTTTTCTGGAGCAGCAATATCAAGCTCTAGAAGCTATACGAGACAGGAAAACAACTAAATGGAGCAATAAAAAGCAGCCACAACGAGCACCCACATTCTATACAGCTGCACAAAAGACCTGTATATATTGCAAGATTCCTGGGCATCAAATTGTTGAATGCAGAAGGTTCCAGGCATTCACTACGATGAATCGTAGAGGTTTCATAGTAAACAATAAGCTATGCAATATTTGCCTCGACCACGTATATGAAGGCAATTGCAAGAATAAGAAAAAATGCAGTAAGTGTGGAAGAAATCATCATAATTTACTGCATTACAATGAATTCCAGAAGGAAAAAGGAGCAGGTGAAGAAAATGCAATAAAAAAATCATCCACTATGATGACAAAAAACTCCGAAACAGCAATACTTCTAGCAACAGCCCAGATAAGAGTGAAGGCGGCAAATGGAGAGTACGTGACATTGCGAGCACTAATCGATCAAGGATCACAGAAGACTACCATTTCTGAAGAAGCCGCTCAAACACTACACTTGCCAAAGAGAAGAGAAGTAACTGAGCTGCAAGGGCTAGGAAATACTACAGTGGGAGTCTCCAAATTTAAAGTCAACATTGAAATCAGGCCGAGATTCCTAAGCAACGAAGTGTACAATGTCGAAGCACTGATTTTGCCGAAATTGGCGAGTGTACAACCTGATAAAACATTTAAATGGGATATAGAACAATGGAGAAACTATACCTTAGCTGATCCCAACTTCAATAGGTCAGATCGAATCGACGTCGTTATTGGAGGAGATGTATATGCTGACATATTAGAAGAAGGCATATTTAAGAAAGATCGAATATTGGGCCAAGCTACGAAATTAGGATGGATATTGTCGGGAGTTTTACAACAACCGAGAAAAATTGGTAGAATTCTAGCGGCGGTGACCACAACGTTGGAGAAGTTTTGGGAAATAGAAGACACCACAGAACCAACATATATAGAAGATGATGATGAATGTATGAAGATATTTGATAAAACGACAACAAGAGATGAAAATAATAGATTTGTCGTCAATCTACCTTTTAAGAAAGAAAAAGAGTTAGGCGACTCTCGCCAACAAGCAATGGCGAGGTTTCTTAATCTTGAGAAAAAGTTGGCTTGAGATGACAACCTAAGAAAACAATATGTGCAATTTACGAGAGACTATTTAGAAATGGGCCACATGAAAAAAGCAAGTGGAAATAATTGCGGAAAATACTATTTGCCACATCAAGCCGTAATTCGAGAAGGCAGTCTCACAACTAAACTACGAGTAGTTTTCGATGCATCTGCAAAAACTACAAATGGAAGTAGTTTAAATGACATCCTTTTAATAGGCCCGAGACTTCAAAAAGATATATTTGACATAATTATCAAATGGAGACTTTGGCAATATGTGTTAACAGGTGATATTGAAAAGATGTATCGACAAATTAAAGTAGCAGAAAGTGATCAAGATTATCAACGTATATTGTGGAGAGAAGCGAAAGAAAGGCCGATAGGAGAATACAAACTGCAAACAGTTACGTATGGAACAGCATCCGCTCCTTTTCTTGCAACGAGAACTTTACAAGAAATTGCCATATCCTGCGAGCCTTACAATTATTTGCTTTCAAACATCATTAAAAACGACTTCTACATGGACGATTTAATGACAGGAGCAGATTCAATAAATGAATGTAAGGCCATTCAGTTCGAAATTTCGAAACAACTACAAAAGTATGGATTTCACTTAAGAAAGTGGATGTCTAATAACAGCGAGATTATAGCAACAATTCCAACAAATAGCGAAAATGAGGTAATAAAAATAGCAGAAGACGAAACAGTTAAGACATTGGGTATACAACGGGACCCGGCCAAAGACATGTTTGGATTTAATATGAATCTTTCAACGGAAAAGCTAGTAACAAAAAGGCAAGCTTTATCTGATTTGGCGAGAATTTTCGATCCGATGGGGTGGCCTTCACCAATGACTGTTTTAGCAAAGTTGTTTATACAAAAACTTTGGTTGATGAAACTCAACTGGGATGAGTTACTCGACGAAAATTTGGCAAAATAATGGCAGGAGTTTATGCAGCACGTACCAGCGATAAAAAGAATAAAAATTCCCAGATGGTTTGAAACAAAAAACGACTTTAAAATGGAACTACATGGATTCGCAGATGCATCAGAAAAAGCGTACGCGGCAGTTGTATATGCTAAAGTTGGATCAGTTATAACGATAATTGCTGGTAAAACCAAAGTGAACCCGATTAAAAATAAGAAGACATTGCCAAAACTGGAGCTATGCGCGGCTCACCTTCTTTCTAAATTGCTGCAAAGGATAAAGACAGTTATCAATAGAGAAGTTAAAATATTTGCTTGGAGCGACTCATCTATAACGTTAGCATGGATAAAGAATTCCCGAAGTAAAGATAAGTTCATTAAAACGAGAGCAGAAGAAATCAAATTATATGCTTCCACAGCAATATGGCAACACGTTGGAACAAAGGACAATCCAGCTGATGTAGCATCCAGAGGGGTATTGGCGAACAAACTAGTGGAGCACGAGCTATGGTGGAGAGGTCCCAAATGGTTACAAGGAGAAGAACATCAATGGCCAACACAGAATAGCGTTAAAATCGATGCAGTGTATGTCACAACATCAAAAGAATCACATTTCTTAGATGACGTAATATTAAAATATTCTAGTTTAACCAAATTAATAAGGGTTGCAGCTTATATATTGCGATTTATAAAAAGAATACGAGGACAAAAATATCCTGCGTACTTAGTAAAATCAGATATAAAAGAAGCTGAACAGAGAATAATAAGATATCAGCAAAAATTACAATTTAGAGAGGAAATACAGAGCTTAGAAATCAAAAACGAAATTAGCAGTACAAGTAAAATTGCAAGCTTAGATCCAACTTTAGATAACAATGGAATCCTTCGCGTAGGAGGTAGGTTAGGGAATGCAAAGCTTCAGTTCGATCAGAAGCACCCAATAATATTAAATAAATCACATTTGTCAAAATTGATTATTGAACATGTTCATAAAACAACCTTACATGGAGGAAATAAGTTAATGGAAGCAAAGATTAGAAGGAATTATTGGATAATTGGATTAAAGAATTCCATAAAAAAAACATTCGAACTTGTAGTCGCTGCATACGTTACCGAAAGGAAGCAGCTAAACAAATAATGGGAAATCTTACAGAATTTCGAGTGTCGTTGCCAATTCCATTCTCACACGTTGGTGTAGACTATGCAGGTCCAATACATATGAAATATTCCAAAGGAAGAGGAATAAAAACATTTAAAGGATACATAGCTGTATTGGTATGTATGGCCACAAAGGCTATTCATTTAGAGGCAGTAAGTGATTTAACAACTGAAGCGTTTCTAGCTGCTTTAAAAAGATTTTTTGCTAGAAGGGGTAAGAGTCAGCATATATACTCAGACAATGGAACAAATTTTGTCGGAGCTTGTAGAAAGTTAGACTTAGATTTCAAAAAGGCAATCAAGAAAAACTCAACAGTAGCTCCCATATTAGAAGCAGACAAAATTCAATGGCATTTTGGGCCGCCGGCAGCTCCTCACTTCGGAGGAATTTGGGAGGCTGGAGTCAAATCAGTGAAATATCATTTAAAAAGAGTGATAGGCGAAAGTAAATTGACATTTGAAGAGATGATTACTTTGCTATTACAGATTGAAGCAGTGCTAAATTCACGACCCTTATGTGCGATCGATAGTGAAAGCGATATAGATGTTTTAACACCTGGGCATTTTTTAATAGGATGCCCATTAATAGACTGTCCTGAAGCAATTGATGACACAACAAAGGGTTCGTTAGATAGGTGGAAACTAATACAAAAAATGAAAAGAGACTTTTGGAAACGGTGGGAAAGCGAATATGTCACAATGTTGCAACAACGAATGAAATGGAAAACCAAACAGGACAATCTAGCAGTAGGTCAAATAGAAATTATTAAAAATGAAGAAAGTCATCCAGCAAAGTGGCCATTAGGCAAAGTTATAAAAACCCATCCTGGAAGCGATGGAAAAACCAGAGTTGTAACTCTGAAATTGCAAAATGGGATACTTAAACGGCCCGTTCACAAACTGTGCCCACTAGAGACAACAAACAGCAGCAAAACGGAAGAGCCAAATCAAGCTGCAAGCCTGTTGACATCAAGAATAGCAAAAAATTCAGCGGGCCCAGGAGGGCAGAAAAGAACGAAGACATTGATGATGTGGTTCTTTACGTTGCTCATGCTAGCAATGCAAGTTAAGGCATTATACATAAATGATACGGCTAAAACAGGAGCTTCAGTGGCTGAACTAAGAAATAATACCGCAATATATTTGAATCCGATCGGCAAAATAGACATAATAAATTCAAAATGGGATTTAATCGTTTATTACGAGTTAGGTTCCTATTACGATCGGATGGAGGGAGTAAATGAATTTATTAACAGACTTGAACATCAATGCAAAATATTGACATATTATGAAGAGGCCTGTGTAATGATTACCGCAACTTTAAAGCATAAATATAATAGCCTTAAGTCAAATAACGAACTGTTCATGAAGCAAGAAAATAGAAAAAGACGAGCACCATTCGAATTCGTTGGCTCAATTTACCATATATTATTTGGAATTATGGATGCTGACGACCGAGAGAATATGGAATCAAATATTAAAAATATTTTTGAAAACCAAAAGAATATCGCAAAGTTGTTTAAGAGACAGACATCAATAGTTGATTCTACAATAAATATATTAAAAAAGACAACCGATGAAGTTAACAAAAATTTTCAAAAAATGAATGAACAGCTAAATAAATTTTATCATGAACTTGTTAAAGATCAAAATGCCGAGCGAATGACCTTGATGTTTCAGATATTAACCATTCAAATAGGAATAGTTATGGACGAATGTGAAGATATCCAAACTTCGATAATCAATTTACTAATTGACATAAATCATGGTCGCATAAATCCAAAACTAATAAAACCTTCACAACTTAATAAACAAATTGCACTTATCAGAAACAAGCTGCCACACAAATTAGTACTACCTGGAAAACAGTTCGGTAATGAATTAAAAGAAATCTATAAGTCGATGACTGCTAAAGGGTTAATTGTCGATTCACGACTAGTCATAAACATAGAAATTCCCTTAATATCATATGAACCGTCAGATGCATACAAATTAAATCCACTGCCAATAAAATACAAAGGGAACATAATTATCCCTGATATAAATGCAGAATATTTAGTATACAAGTTTGATTTAAATCAATATGTATTGATAAACCAAGTCGATCTAGATAAGTGTTTAACAAACTTGGAAGATCATTATCAATGTCCAGGGAACTGGGCTTGGAAGTCAGCCACGGACAATTCATGCGAAGAGCAGCATTGAAACAGTTGGAAAATGAAGTGTGTGGATTCAAGCCCGCTACAAATGAAAATGTTTGGATTAAATTATCTTCTCAAAATCGTTGGCTTTACAAGTTGTTTAGCAAATCAACAATACATCTAGAATGTGATAACAACCAACAAATGCGAATGGAAATCCCTAATCAAGGCATTATCACAATAAGAGAAGGATGTACAGCTCGACATGAAGGAGTAACTTTAACAGCATCTCATCACGTACAATCCAAGATCAATAAAGGATTGCTATCTTCTTCTTGGGTAAAAGACATTGAAGATATTTCAGAACTGCGAATTAAACCTTTTGATTCGACTTTAATAAACAGCACCAAAGATATCCTAACGCTCAAACAGCAAATAGAATCTCTCAAAAAAGAAAATATCAAATTGAAAGGTATCAATTTTCATCACGTTAGTGGTCATGCTTCGCTAACTTTAGTTTTCATAATAGGGTTAATCATCGTTATTTTATATATAAGATCAAAATGTAAAAGAAGAACTGTTGTGGCTGTTCCATTTGAACTACCAGTTAGACATAATCATAATTAAGTAAAATGTCAACAATCACATTTGGCTAATATGTTAAAACAACACAATTTTGGCCCCTGGCAGAATGTTCATAAAAA